AGTGACTGAATTTTCAAAACTTAAAGCAAGAAAAGTCATGTTTTAAGAGCACAGAGTGTTTATTCAGCGTGTTTTGTAAATACAGGTTAAAGTTCATTGAAGAGTTTTCTTATTTCTTTCTATATTGGATGTGGTGATAATGGCAGTTAAAGCAGGATAGCATAATGGATGATTTTGGATTTGTAATAATAAAAATTTTAATTAACATTTTTAATGCATTTTTATATGAAATTGGACTAAAATATCATCTAGTTGTCATGTACAAATCTATTCTGAAAATTTTGTGTCTCTATTTTATTTGATCTCAGAAACATTGGTTGGACAGACAGACGGACAAACCAAATAATTAAGCCTCTGTTTAAAAAAAAAAAAGTAAAAACATTAAAAGGAAAAAAAGGGATAAATGTTTCCCAGTTTACCAAAAACCTCAGCCTAGATCTGCCCTTGGGGTTGGGGGGCGCCAATTGCATGGTTCGCCTAGGGCGCCAGTTGCTGGCAGCTAGTGTAGGGCCACCCCTGCCTGGGAGCTGAAGGGAGGGGCTGCTAAGGGTAAGAGGGTGTGTGTACCTGGGGGGGCATGACTCAAGCTGGGAGGGGCATACCTTTAAATTGTGCCCCCCACTCTCAGCAGGCACCAGTTGTCTCTGGGAGAAGCTCCTAGCCCCACCACCCTGCCACAGGGCAGAAGCCCCAAGCCTCCCCCCACCCCCAGTCTGGTAGGCAGAGAATGGGGTGTGGAGGCTCCATGAACCGCACTTTAACTGTAAAAGAGCTGCATGTGGCTCATGAGCCACAGTTTGACCACCCCTGGTCTACAGGGAGACCAGGCACTAACTCAAGTTTTGTGGATTCCAGTGATTTTTTGAAGTTCCTAAAAGTTTGGTATTGCAACACTCAACATCACAACACCTACATCCCTCAGTGCCTCTGAAAATCAAGAGACTTATTTAAGTGCCTAACGGGATTTAGGTGTGTAACTTCAGACAACCACATTTTGAAAATGTTGGGCTTGGAGTCTGGGATTTATAGGACGGGATGTTATATTGGGGGCACCCAGTGTGGATTTTTATGCAAAAATGTGATACAAAATTGTGCAGTTTTTTCTCTTTAGCATTTTGGTGAGCTCCTGTAGGCTGATCTGAGTTAATAATTATTGCTTGTTACATCCCACTATGAGATTTGTCAAGCACAAGTAGAAAGGAAAATGGACCATCTGTTCTTACCTACTAATTTCCTTTCTTTAATTAATCATGTGTTGACAGACATAACCATACTTTTCTTAGAAACTGGCTCAGTAAAAATCTGGTCAGATGGATAATTACTTAATTTTTGGATTGTTAATTATGACAAAGTTCTGTCCTTGACTCCGTGGGTCCTGAGTTTCCTGGTGGATTTTTGCTAGCCTCAGAGGCTCACTGTGACCCTCCACATAGCCCTTCTCTCTCTAGAGGCAAGGGTCACAGTCTACCGAGCCATTTTCATCATAAGCCAGCAAGGGAGGTGAGAAACAACCCTCCCTCACACAGTCTCTGTTGTCTCCCAGTATCAGTGATTAATCAGGGAGGGGAGAGGGGAGCCCAGGCCCACCCTCTACTCCGGGCTCCAGCCCAGGGACCCTAAACTTAGCAGCTATGAAAGCTGACTTTTGGAAATAGAGCATGTACAATTCCCTGGGCTACTTCCCCACAGCAGCCCCCACTCAATACCTCGGGGCCTCCTTCCTTGCACCTGATATGGATTCGTACTACTTCATTCCTCCAACAGCACAGCTCCCTCCTATAGCTCCTGACACCCACCCCGCACTGACTAACTGAGAGGCTTTTAACTAGTTCCAGCCAATCCTTAATTGGCTTCAGGTGTCCCAATCAATCTAGCTGTCTCTTCTGCCTTCTATAAGGATCTTAATTGGCCCCAGGTGTCTTGATTAACCTGCAAAAAGAAGAACAGGAGTACTTGTGGCACCTTAGAGACTAACAAATTTATTAGAGCATTTGTTAGTCTCTAAGGTGCCACAAGTACTCCTGTTCTTCTTTTTGCAGGTTAATCA